TGGATGCTCCATCTACAAAGATGGTCCACTTGTGTTCTTTCCCCGGGGAAGGGTCGTGAGTGGTCATTTCCGCGACAAAGTCGGCCAAGGCCTGTGCTTTCAGGGCTTTCCTGCTTTCGTACTGAATGTCGAATTCGGAGAGTTCCAAGGACCATTTTAGCATTCTGCCCGCCATATCGGGCCGGCCCAGGAGTTGTCTCACTGGTTGGTCGGTTCGCACGATGATCGTGTGGGCCAGAAAGTAGTGTCTGAGCCTCCTCGCCGCGTTGACGAGGGCCAGAGCCACCTTTTCTATCTGCTGGTATCTGCTTTCGGGCCCCTGTAAGGCCTTGCTCGTGAAGTAGACGGGTTTCTGCCCGTCGGGGGTCTCGCGGACAAGAGCTGCGCTGATGGCTTCGTTCGAAACGGCCAAGTACAAGTACAGTGGTTCCCCGTCGTCTGGTCGAGATAGCACGGGCGGCTGAGACAGACTTTGCTTTAGGTGGCGTAGTGCCTGCTCGCATTCCTCATTCCATTCGAAGGCTGCTTCCTTTCGAAGGAGTTTGAAGAAGGGGAGGGTGTGCTGAGCGGATTTCGCGACGAAGCGGGATAGCGACGTGAGCATGCCGTTCATGATTTGTATCGACTTCTTCGACGTCGATGTTGGGAGGTCGGAGAATGCCCGGCATTTGTCGGGGTTGGCTTCGATTCCCCGTTCTGTTAGATAGAATCCAAGGAATTTTCCTACCTTAACCCCGAACGTACATTTCTCGGGGTTGAACCTCATTTTACATTGTCTTGCTTGGGCAAAGACTGTCTTGAGATGAGCTGCATGGTCGGTGTCTGCCCGGGACTTGACGATCATGTCGTCCATATATACCTCGAGCATGTCGCCGATCTGTTTGTTGAAAACTCTGTTCATCATGCGCTGGTAAGTTGCTCCGGCATTTTTCAGTCCGAAGGGCATTACGTTGTAGTAATAGTTGCCCGAGCTGGTCATGAATGCCGTGCAGTGTTTGTCGCCCAGGGCCATTGGGATTTGGTTATAGCCCAAGTAGGCGTCCATGAACGACAAAGTTTTGTAGCCGGCCGAGTTGTCGACTAGCATATATATGTTAGGCAAGGGAAAAGCATCTTTCGGGCAAGCTCGATTGAGATCAGTATAATCAACGCACATTCTCCATTTTCCATTATTCTTTTTCACGAGTACAACATTTGACAGCCAGGTGGAATATCGGGCTTCAGAAATAAAATTTGCCTCTAGGAGGTCTTTTACAGCTTTTTCAGCAGCCTCCATTTTTTCTGGAGACTGCCTACGCCTACGTTGTACTACGGCCCTAGCGGCTGGATCAATGGCGAGGTGGTGACAGACGACCTCAGGGTCGAGTTCGGGCATCTCCGCGGCGCTCCAGGCGAACAGATCAGCATTCTCGTGCAGACAGGCCTTGATTTGCTTCCTGGCCAAGTCGGGGAGGTCTTTGCCAATCTTCACTCCCTTGGTTGGATCTGTTCCGAGGGGAACGAGTTCAAAATCCCCGTCCGGTATTGGTCGGAGTGGGATTTGCTCGCTGCTGGATGGCTCGTCCTGGTCGAAGCGGGTGTCCAGAGCTATGGAATCGACCTTTGGTGGAGCTTTCTGGACTTCTTCCTCGGGGGATGCTTTCCTGTCGGGCTCCTGTTTTGTCCTTTTGGCGGGTCTGGTCCCTATATCGACGGTATCCCGTCCCTTAGAAGCGGCGTTGAAGCACCTACGGGCAACGGCTAAGTCTCCTTGGCTGGTGGCTACCCGTGCCCTCCTGGTGTAGAACTTCATCTTCAGGTGGACGGTCCAGGGCACCGCTGTTAGCTCTGCCAGTGTCGGTCTCCCCAAGATGCAATTGTACAGAGACAGGCAGTCAATGACGAGGAAACGGACTTTAACTTGTCTCGTAGCCGTTCCTTCGCCGAACGTAACTAGGAGCTCGACATAACCCCAAGGTTTGGAAGTCAAGCCGTTGAAGCCTTGTAGATCCGACCCCACATACGGAGAGAGATGTCAGTCATCCAGCTGTAGGGTTCGGAACAGTTGGTTGTACATCACGTCGACGGAACTCCCTTCGTCGACCAGGATGCGATGCACGTCAAAATTGGCCATTTTTGCCCTTATCAGTAAGGGGATGACCGCGTTTGGGGCTCCGCCGGGGAGCTCTTCTAGGTAGAAGGTGATGGGCTCTGACCTGCCTTTCACCCTTTCGAACGTTACTGTTTGCGGGGGAGCCGCGTCGACCAGCTCGTCCAACTTCCTCTTAGCTGAATTGATGGTGAGGTCGTTGAACCCGCCCCCATTAATGACCATGGCGGAGGGAAAGTATTCCCACATGCTGTGCGTTGTTAGCGGTTCCTGCAGGTGCTCGGGAATGTCGAAGTCCTCGGGCCTGGTCACCGAGAAGGCGGTCTGGATAGGCACCGACTCGTCTGATGGTCGGGCGTCTTCTTCTGGCTCCTTGGCTTCATGGGCGTCACGACGAGGAGCGTCGTTTCGCCGGTACTGCGCGAGCCTCCCTCCCTTGATGAGGGTTTCAATGGCATCCTTGAGGTGGACGCAGTCCTCTGTCAGATGGCCATGACTCCTATGGTATTGACAGTATTTATTTTTGTCCGCCCCAGGCTTGGCGGGAGCAGGTCGGGGACGCTTGACGCTGCCGTCCTTGAAGTCTGTACTGGCACACTCCGCCAGGATACGCTCCCGGGAAGCTGTGAGCGGAGTGTACTCGGTGAAACGGCCCGAGGGGCCCCTTTGTTCCCGGACTTCCCGGGGTCTGTCTTCTTTCCTTTTCTCCCTGGTTCGTCGAGGAGGAGCCTCTTGGTGCGAGCTGCTGTTGTTGGGACCCCGAGTCCTGGAATCTCGGGCCCTGTTGGCCGCTTCCCTCTCCTCGTAATCCATGTATGCCCGAGCTTTTTCGAGGAGGGCGTCGAAAGACCTGGGCGGCTCGATTCCCACGGCTTTTCTGAACTCTGTACCGGGGAGGAGCCCTCTCTCCAACAGATATCTCTTCATGTGGTTCGTGCATGGGACCTGTATCGCTTCTCGGTTGAAGCGGTTGATGAACTCCCTCAAGGTCTCATCATGTCTTTGGATGATGGCCTCGAGCGCCGCCTCGGTCTTTGGATGGCGTCGAGAAGCGGTGAAGGAACTGATGAACTGGTTCTTCAGGTTCCGCCACGAGGTGATTGAGCCCGGGGCGAGCCCTTTGTACCAGTCCATGGCCGCCTTCCTGAGAGTCGTGGGGAAAAGACGACACTTGATGGGCCCCCCGACATTATGATAATGGAGCATAGCCTCGAACCCGTCAATGTGGTCGACCGGGTCCGCGACTCCGTCGTACTCCTTCAGATGTGGGGGCTTCTCCATGCCCGGGGGGATGGGTGCATCCATGATGGCCTGCGACAGGGGACCGCGGGGGTCGTCCTTGTCGCTCCTCTCCGGAGACAGAGATGGGGACCTGTAGTATTGTCTGGCACGGTGGTCGTGCTGAGTCTCCCTCGAGCGTGATGCTCGTTGGTTGAATGTCACACGCCCGTCTCTGGCGTGTCTCTTGTCGTGCCTTACCGGGTCGCGACTGGGTTCTCCGGCAGGGATGACGGGCTCTCTCTCCAAATAGGGTCGCCTATGCTTTGGCCGGGGAGATGGGCTTCGAGAGGTCTCCCTGTAGTGTCTCCGCGGGGGAGAAGGGTGTCGGGCTTCAGTCACTCGAGGAGGGGGAGTATGTGGTCTCCGATGCCTCCTCGAGGGTCTTCGCTCGTCTTCGAGCGCCTTTAATCTCTCTCCTTGGGCGAAGATGAGATAGTTCGTTTGATTAATTGCTGCGAACAACGCTTGTATGGTGGCATCCGCCCCGGAGGGGACGGGGACTTCCTGAAACCGGGCGGCTCTGTAGTGGGCGAGGGCCGTCGGGTCGTCCTCGAGTGGTGGTGGGAGCGAGGAGGATGATGCAGTAGCCCCGTCCCTGTATGAGGAAGTTCCGGGGACGGTTGTTGCAGGAATGGTGTTATGGCCGGGATTGCCGGCGTTGTCGAGATGTTCGTTCTTGTCCGCCGTGCCGTTATTAGTGTCGGCGACACGGACGTTCTGCTCATCGCGAGCTGGATCAGCCATGATGGGTAGTTGAATATGAGCTTTGGTCTTTTGAGTTGTTTGTTAAGACGGGGAAGCTAGTTTCCCACAGACGGCGCCACTGATCTAACCTGATCAGACTTGGACCGTCACGGCTGGCTCCGAGCTGAAAGTTTTGAACGAGGTGGGGGGGGGGGGGGGGGGTACCTGCAAGACACTCCGATGCTGAAGTAAGTAAGAGCACGAGCAGGCAATAGTAAGTATGGGTAGAATGATGAATACCTGACCCTCTGGAAACAGAGGGTATTTATAGCCCCCAGCGCTGGGCCAAGGTTCCTTCATTGGGCCGGGCAGGTTTGGCCCAATGGAGGAACTGCCAGGTTCTACGTGCGTAGTAGGGACCCGCACGTGGTCCCCTCCCTGGATGTTCTGCGTGAAGTGCGGGAGGACAGAGACGCGGTCTTTTCGGGGTCTCGTTGGGAGTGCAGTGGACTGAGTCTGCCCTAGTCGGGGTGCTCGAGGTGATGTCGAGCTGGACAACAGGATGTCGAGCTGGACAGTTGGATGTCGAGCAAGTAACCTCAGGGAGCACGTCGGGCACGACTGTGACCCTTTGATCGGCGTGGCCCTCAGCAAGTCCGTTTGGATTGGGCCTTATCAATGTTATTGGGCCTGTCGGGCCCAGTCCAGAACAATAAATATGTAACAAGTCTAAACAATGTTTGAACTTTTTACTAATAATTGACTTAGTCAACATATACGTTGCATTCTCTGAAGTATAAACATTTTCAAGTAATATATGTCCTGATGCAAGTAACTCTCTGATATTGTGAAACCTCATATCAATATGTTTGGTCCTTACATGATATACTTGATTGTTTTTTAAGTAAATGACACTTTAACTATCACAATATAACATAACTCTACTTTACTCAACACCAAATTCTCTCATCAATCTTGTAAGCCATAAGGCTTCTTTGACATCTTCATCTGTCGTTGTGTACTCTGCTTCAGTTATCGACATGATCATTATACATTGAATTGATGATTTCTAACGCAATCAGAAACCCTAAGAATTAGCAAGCTCCAAACCTAGAATAAAAACACATGGTTGCAAGCGCAAAACCTGCTAGATAAGCTATGGAATCCACCAAAAAGAGAAAAGAAAACTCTAAATTGTATTATAATAAAAGATAATCCTTATGGCCACGCCAAAGGTCTTTAAATACAAAAAACAAAACAAAAACTCGTAAAAGGCCTTTGATCCAAAATAGAATTAAATAAATAAATAAAACAAAACATAAATTATTGAAATTGTGAAAATTAGTAAAATGTTGTTTTCAGGGCTGAAACAAATTCGGATGGCTTAAAAAGCACATATATCATTGCAAATCAAATAAGTTGGACTCAGTGAGCCAAATCCTTTTTTGAAAAGGTATAATACGAGTCATTCAAACATCGGACGTCAGACTTGTATATATCTTATTAAATTGTTCTGACATACAAGTTCTTCGATACGCGTAATCAGACTTCCTACATCACTCTCCTTCACTTTTGAAGAACTCGACCTCAAGTTCCCATCTTGATAAAGAGCTTCGCCTGGTTGCAGCTTGCTGTAAGTACCAACTAGAAACCTCTCGTTACACAGAAACGCTGTCATATCTTCTCCCACATTGAAAACTTTAACTTCCATGTATTTATCTTGCATAAGAGGAAAATTGTTTGGTAGCCCTGTTATACGATATATTACTGTTGTACCCCAAAATTTGCCCTCTTATTTTACTCAACACATGCCCTTTGAGGTATTTAACTTGCTCAAGGATGCCCAAGAGTTGACCAGACAAACTCCCTCCTAAGGTAATGTATATCAAACTAGGGCTTCCATTTTCATCAGGATGGTTGAAGTCCAAAGGCCCCAAATGCTTTCTATGGTCTTAATATGTTCTCAAGATCATCCATGTCAAGTTTCATGCCTTGCACAAGAAGTTTGCTCAGTCAACTGCTCAGATGCCTGAAAATTAACTACACTAGGTCAAAAGTCAATTGTGCCCCACATACAGTCAAACTTTAAGATTTTTGGTCAACATCAACATTTTGAAGTTATATCCATCATTTGATAAAGGGTTGATCATTATTCCTCAAGGAATGCCCCAAATTCATCAAAACGCAAAAGTTGCTAAATTCGAGTTTCTTAGGAAAAGTCAACCAAACTTTGACCAGGCATAACTTCTTCATATTTTATCATAAACTTTCCATCCAATGCTCATTTTGAAGAGGATGCAATTACCTACAATTCATATTCATCCCACAAGTTCAAAATATGCACTCATAAAAATATATGAATTTCTACATTATAGGTCCTTTTGAAAAGTCAACAAAAACACCTTTTGGGTCAAAGCTTCTTACATAAACATGGAATACCCAATTGAGATGAAACCAAAAGGGTTTTTTAGGGGACATCCTAAGCTTTCTAAAAAGTCCAATAACACCTCTCTAGGGTTAAAATTGGAGGAGATATGCATTGTCAAAGTTGACCATTTTTGTAAAATTGCCAAAAGTCAAATGTGCTCAAAAATACATTTTTTGCCAAATGGGCCTAGCTTTTCATGATTGTATCTTTCTTGTGACATGGTCCACGACCCAAATCAGCATCCACACATTATTTGTTTCATTATTTATTTTATTTTGATTTTTTATTATTTAAAATTCAAATTAAATCAAATAAATGGCAAAAAAATATAAAAGATTGAATTTGATTTGATTTTTTTGTAGGAATCAAATCAAATCAACCTAGCATGACCAAATAAAATCGTGCAAGGGTGGAATGGCTTAAATTGGTATGATTTTGATGCATTTAGAAAGATATGATATAAGAGAAAAATCAAATCAAATCTCCATGATTCCAAGAGATTGAAATTGTTTTTGTTAACCTAATCAGTTCTACTACATATATAGGACATACACAAGCCAAAAGAACAAGGATTGCAGGTCGTGAGAGCTGGAAACAAAACTAAAAAAGTTGATAAAAAGTGGTGAATTATTTTCCAACCTAGAGGGCAATTCAAAGCATTTCAACACTCCCAATCGTTTCCTGGACTTTCCTAGAAGCTAGCACGATCAATTACAAGCTTCCACAAGCCTAGAATCGTCACATAACACCCACGCGGTTTACTTCCTTTTTCAAATTTGATTACAATAATTCTTGCATCATAAACATGTTGTGTTCATTGAGATATTTGCAACATGTTTGAATGGTTTAATTGATGTTTTGATGCATGTATTCATAATTGCCATTGCTAGGGTTTTCATGGCCGTTTTAGGGTTTTTCCATACAGGTTAAATTGGCCCAAGAAAAGGGTACCATGATGCCCGTGGCATTAAGACGAATCGATCCATGTGCTTAGAATTAATTTATCATGCTTGTTTTTATTTTTGAAATTTGCAGTGCTATAGCCATGGAGGATGTCTGTAGGTATAAGTCTCATACCTAAAACGACGGACAGGGGAAGAAGAAGACAACGTGGCTGATAACCATTGGCCTGTTTAAATCAAACGCGCGTTTTTTTATTTTTCTGTCTTATCCAGTTTGTTTGACATAATATATATTGTTCTTATTATACTAACAAATAAAACGCGTAGCCCAGATGGCAAGGCGTGCGTGGTATTGAGTGGGAGGACCTGGGTTCGAACCCAGGTCCAAGCATTTTCCTATTTTTCTGAATTCTTTATTTCAGATCTAGCGTGCTACACAGCCAGACGTCCACCATGCAACCCAAGATCTCAACCACTGGATTCATCATCAATCCAGATCCAACGCCCATCAATGAAAGACTACGGTGTACCCTCCAAGCTTGGCCAACACTGAATCTCACGCAGAGACTGGGCCAAGGAATTTGGGTTGAATAAATTCAACATACACCCCTTTCAGCAATACAGGCCCATCTCTTTTCTTATTTTTTATTTTAATTCTTATTTTAATTATGTACTAATTATTTTCTTTTTTACAAAATAACACCAAAAATCAGTTTTTTTTATTAAATCAAAAAATCACAAAAAACCTAAAAAATCTTTTATTTCATAAAAAATATTTTATTTCTTTAATTAATTAGTTTAATTAAAATTAAGGCAATTTAATTCTTTTCATAATTAAAAAATAATTAGAAATTAGGGTTAATTTGTACATAATTATTTTTTTCTCAAAAATAACCTAAGTTTTTTTTTCAATTAGATTTTTTAGGTTTCCTAATTTATTCCCTCGGATTTAATTCGCCGCGCGCATTTTTTAGTTTCCTTTTTATTATTATTGTAACTGTTTCGAGGTTGTAATAGATTAATTAGGGTTTTAAATTTCCGCATTTTTATTTTCAGTCAAGATAATTATGTATATGCGAAAGCCTTGTAATAGCTAGGACTTTAACTTTCCCGCATTTTAATTTCCGCAAACTATAAACTGCTTAGATGTATGTTAATAGGATTGTATGGAAAGACTAACTGAAAATTAAAACAGTAGAAAACCTTAAATGTGCAAAGATAAATTAACTGAAAAAATACACTCGCACATGCTCACTCCTAGAGTTTACTCCACTTCGGTTGCCTTCGGTAAATGGTCATGAAGTATAGGGTTTGCTAGTGGTCGTCCTCTAGCCCCGAAAGATCTAAAATGACCCATTCGGATGTTGCCTCGGAAAAAGATCTTTAAGGCTTTAGGATGACTACTAACATTTCCTAACACTGCTTTTGTGATCGTATTTTTCCCTTCGAACGTCCCTTAAAAATCCAACGACGGTGCTACCTATTTCTCAATAATGGGATAACATTGTCTAAAAGGAAAACAAACAGACTTTTTCGAGTAGGTAGAAAACTCTTAAGTACTTGCTCAAACAAACAAATTTTTTTCACACCAACACTTTTCAAACAAAGTTTTCAAAAACAACTTCGTAACACTCTTGAGGACAGAAACAAGGATTAATAAGAAGTAAAACAAAACTTTTCAAAACAAGCACACACAAGCAGTTTTCAAAATGAGCAAGTACCTAAGAGCCCATGGAAAACCATGGATAGAAAGGGTGCTAACACCTTCCCTTTCTATAATCTACCCCCCGTACTCATAAACATCTCGAAAAAGGTTTTTTCTGTTCTTTTTCCTTTTCCTGATTGGATAAAATAAAAGTTGGTGACGACTCTTGCTTACCGCGACATTTTGCGAACAAAAAACGCAAACCAGTATTAACAGTCGATTCTGCCACCGTATCACAGAACTGGCGACTATGCTGGGGACTAAAATATAAAGTGGGGTAAACCTTAGGATCTAGGTCATATTTAATTGCTTTCTCTTGATTGTCTTGATTGCTTTATATTTATGGGAACTGTTTGGGTTATTTGATCCTACACCCAGATCGGGGAAACACCTTTTAGGTAAGTAGAAATAAACTATGAGGGAGCTGTGCTGGGGTATACTGACACGGTTGAAGCAGTAGCTACGTTGATGTGGAACTTTGGTTGGTACCCGTAACCCTTGAGTCAACCAGGGAGATGTACGGGGCCTCCGCGTGGTGTCATAAAGCATCAACTGACCTTAGAACCTTTAATTGCACAACTTGGCCAGTAGGACGTAGCGAGATGGCCAACTTTGGTGTATACCCAAGGTCGACAGATACTCGATGCTACACTCATTGAGGTTTGACTCTTGAGTTTTGTTTGGTTGAAAGTCAATCGCCTATTGAACGAAGCTGGGGGAAAGATCAGTGATATTGAGATCCCTTTAGAACCCGGTTACTATTTATAGGACAAGTTGAACTAATCCAGCTTCAAGAGGGTATGACCTTAAAACCCATGCAAGCCTAAACCTAAGGTTGTTTGCGTGACTTGTGTGCTTTCAACTTGTACTACTTGCAGAGTTTTATTACCTGACAAGATGAGTTCCTTGCAAGTTTTGTTTACAGTTATTATCTAATAACTTGATTTCTTGCAGGGTTTACTTGCTTACATCATTTCGCACCTTTGCTTAAAAGGATAGCATACACATCATAACATCATGCCTTAACATTTTCTTAACCATTTCAAGGATCTCGAGGGCTTGTGATGCAGGTTATGATAAATCAGACGTCTAGCAAGGGGCAAGGGGATTTATTTTCCTCTAGCCAATGTTGTCAGAAGATCAAAACTCAACAACTTGAGTCAGGGGCTATGACCCACTTGATATGGTGAGCTTGACTCTCATAGAAGGAATCTCAATGATACAAAGTTCTTCAATCAAAGCTGCAAAATTCAACTTCTGACGTTTTCTTGTTTACCCCGCGAGATCCTTGAAAACATTGCATACATATATAATACATATCATTGCATAAGCAGGTTTCAAAGCAGGTCTCTCATGTTCTCGCTGTTTATTTCAGAAATGGCTCTCCAACAAGACAACAGATATCTCCGAGCTCAAGATGCCCAGTTCAAGGAATTTCTCCTGAATCTATCCGAGGGGCAAGAAGACCTGAAAACACTCTTCGCCAGGAATCTGACCAAGGAACGTCTTGACAACAACAAGGATAAACAATTGGAATAACTGCAAGCTAAGGTAGAAGCAATGAGAATCCAGATGTTGGGGTAGATGGCTCTTATCAAAAACTTAGCTCGAGGACAAGAAGGGCTAAGAGCCTTCCTCAACAAGCTTCACCAAGATGGGTGCAGATCCATGAAACAAACAGTTAAAATTGT